GGGGGGGGGGGGGTGACTGAGTTGTGCGCTTTTTGCCGAGAGAAAAGGTTTCACGGGAAGCCTTAGAGCGAAAAAATAATGTGTCCAAACAAAGACGAAGGGTTAGTGTAGACGGACGTGCAAATAAAATTATAAAAAAACAACCGCACTGACGAAACCGTACAAGACGTCATCGTCTACACGCAGAAATCCTATTACGTACAATTTGCACCGCGGCCGTTTAGGTCTCCGATGCAGTCAAACTGCAGCAATGCGATTGCGAAATACTTGAACAAGGACACCACCTCCCCGTCTCCCTGCTGACTTGACCCTCGTCCGCCCGTTGGGACAAATTCAACTGACACGGTGCGCAGTCCACTTGAAAATCTAAATCTTGAATTAATCATAAACTCGAGTAGTTTCCGTCGCGGTATTTACCTCCTCGACACTGGACCCGAACACGGTGTCATTTACATCTAGTGTTTTTTATACGATCGTCTTTATTCGTATGACAATGGGCGATAAAGTCGGCAGCGAAACAAAACGGTCGCACTGGGAGTCGAATAATCTTACGAACAATTAAAACCGATCGTGTGGGGGCAAAAAAACAAGGAAAGCGTGCAAGAAAATATAGTCAATAAAACGCACCCCGGAATGTGTAATAGGAAAACGTCCGTCTAGGACAGTTAAGGCGGTATCGTAAAAGTTCTGCTGCAACGAAAAAAGACTGGGGGGGGGCGGCAATACGGTCGTTCTCGAGATGGTTTTTGCCGCAAATTTTTCTCCCCTTTCCCGACTCTATCCGCTCGAGTACCCGTTGCTGCAGTGCTATCACCGCCGTTTCTCTTTTTTTTTTTTTTAAGACCAACAACACATCGGCCATAATTTATTGCAGATGTTAGCATACGCGATTTGTATCGGAGAGGCCTAAAAAAAGATTATTATGACCATAAAAATTGCGAAAAGAAAAAAAACGAAGAATGAACGAGGCCGCGCCGTCTCCTAAAAGACAGACGGTTTTTACAACCCTATACATATAAATGCAAGTATGTGTAACCATCCTATTTTATTTTTCATTAAAATAAAGTCTCTGTTGGCCTGCGTTTTATTTATTTTTTTTCCGTTAAAAACTCCGTCTATCGCTCGCCCGCGTTCCTCGTCTCGTCATCGCCGCAAGCCGTTCTGCGAATCTTTAATGACCAATAAAACGTACATTAGCTATGTGTTTGTACATGTAAACGTGGCAGCCAAAGAAATGCACCCCCTTCCTTATGCGCAGACGAAAAAAACCGATAACAATTATACTCCAGACGTTTAAAAAAATGTTTTTATTATTACGATTTTATTTTTTACTTTTCCACCCGTTTGAAATTTGATGGTTTAGCCTCTTTGGCCCTTTACACAATAGCGGACGCGCCGAGAATTACCTCGCGTTAATTATGCGCGCATTACCGTCTGCAGGAAAAGTAAAAAATCTCCGTATTCAAGTCGAGTATGAGGTAGAGGATTTGATTAATCGTTCCCACGACCGCGCCAAGAGTTGGATATAATGATTGCCGAGGTGAGTCGACACATTCTTAAAAAAAATTTACAGGTGCCACGTCTCCGGGCGTGTAGTGTATTTGTGTATTCGATGATGATGATGATGATGATGATGTGTGTGTGTGTGTGTGTGTGTGTGTGAACGAGTTCGCGGTTGTCGGGGAAATAACCCAAAGAAACAAATTACTCAAAAAATATAAAAAATTATTGTCCGTATTATTTCATAGGATTCTGAGACGGGCAACCGATATTGTTTTCACGACCGACGTAATTGGCCCAGGTTGATTTTTTTACTGATTTTTCGCATGTTAGCCGTACCCATAATATTTAACACGAAATTGGCCCAGAGGCCAGTTTTAATTACTATAATCATAGTGTATTTATGATTTTCAATCAAAACTCCAGCAGCTTTGAAAAACGGGTTTTGCCGCCGTAATTGAATTCGCGGTTGCAATTATTACACCCGACAGATCCGGTTAGGTGCGCATACATTTTGTTTCGGACCGACGGTACGGTAAATATCGCGAACCGTTCCATGTGCTAACGTAATGCGCACACTGTCCGTCGACGGAGTGATAACACTGATAACACGGGTAAAACACGAACGACTTACCGGTGGAGAAGTTGACCATGGGCACGTTATTGGTGATGGCGTCGGCCACGTCAGTGTTGAGTCCGTAGATTTCCAACAGTTCCCGGACTGTATTCTGAGCGTATTCTTTGAGTTCGGACTCGTCGTGAGGTTGATGGTGGCCGGACAATGGAGTGGAATGGAAGGCACCGGCCATCGAGAATCGGTGCCTGTCCGGCAACGAGGCCGCCAGCAACAGCGGTGGCGGAGGTGGCGTGGAGACGGCACACGTGAGATCCATCGGCGCGGAACCGTCGTCAACACGAGGCCTCTTGGCCAGGGTCGATCCGGCGCACGCGCTCAAGTCCAGTACCGCGGCGGACGCCGTTACGCTGCCGGTTGTCAAGGTCGTCCCGGATCGTTCGTGGCCGTTGTCGCCCGCACGAGCGGCCGTTTCATCGTCGTCAGCGTCTTGGGAATAGCTGATGTTACGCGGTTGGAAATTCTTGCGCTTGTTACGGGTGCTGTTGTTGTTGTTGTTGTTGATGCTGTTGTTGTTGTTGTGGTGGTGATGATGAATGGCGGCACCTACCGCGCCGCTGTTCTTTGCCCGAGCTAAGCACACAGGCTGTTCTTTGGTATGGTCATCGGGATCGGAGTCGGTGTCTTCGGCGGCCGACGAGTATACCGAGTCCGGGGGAGTTTGCATCTTACCCGCGGCGTGTCGGGCTGCCGCCGGTGCAGCCAACAATCCCGTGTCAGCCATTGTCACCATTCAACCTGAAAAAAAAAAAACACAACATTATTCTACGACCGTTAGGCAACACGTTATATTAGCGTTATTTTATTTCAAGACCAGTGGATTCGTTAGTTTGATAAAAATCTAATAATATTGTTATTTTATAATGTGTGTTAACTACTATTGCTCAGCTAACTGGCAGTCACGCGATGAGCCGTTACATTATTTACTCGGGCATATAAAATTATAAAGTGTATAATCGAAATTTACTGAAAATATCAACTTATCGACCGCACACACAAACAAAATCTCGTTTAGTTCCCAAGCGCTTTACAACCTCAGTTAATGGAATCGGAAACACTCAAATAGAACAACACGCATTTACGTGTGACCGTAAATCGATTTATAATTATACAAACGGCACATCGATGCACAATATATGTACTGTAATGTGTGAGATTAATGGACGTGTTGCAAATCGCCGTACCTCAAATTCACTTTGGGTAACGGCAAAAAATCATTTTTTTTACGGGTTTCTTGAAATTCGTCCCAAACGTGCGCACTCTGTTCACGACCAGCTCACGTTGTTATTAGCGATTGCAATTATGTTTTATAGTGTCCGATAAGCCTTCGGGGGGCGTCGCTAATTCACCGGAGCTAAACGCACATTTGAGTAACCGACTGACGTGTGGTCGTTTTGACCAAGCGCAGACGGCGCAAAAAGAATGCGTCACTGGAGATAACTCTCGGGAGGCGAATGTACCGTCCAGAGTGGCGGCAGCGACCGCGTCGTACGCATACAATGACACACATCGGTGTGAGTGTAACAATAATACAAATAGGTAAACAATAGCCATCACGTCCATCGAATCGAAATCATCGAGTGTGTATGGAGCCGGCCGCAGTGTATGTGCCGGCGCCTCTGCGCTCCATAATACACGGGCGCAGCAATACACGTTTGGGTGCCTACGAAAACAGTAATAGTGGCGGTGTGGAAACAGTGACGGCAGTATTAATAATGGCAGTGGCAATAGAATATTCTTTTATACGCGTATCGCGTCGTTATTAAATACACGTCGTACAGCAACTCAGCTTCCGGGCATCGGTGTCCTATTCACCGGCCGCGGCGGGCGACATCCATCGCGGCGTTAACGCCGTCAACAACGTGTTCACGACGTCCTGTCGCCACTACTGGCCGTCGACAGCGCGTACTATAAAAGAATAAAATAATTGGTCCGCCGCCGCTGTCTCATAACTGCTTTATGATAAAAGTGTATCGGCAGGTCGTGGGAGAATTTTTCGCAATGCAATTAATTGTACGACGTCCAGTGGACAACAAAGTCGTTTTGCTTCAGGAGCCGCGTTCACGTCGCGAGTCATTAGCCAATGCGAACGGACGCTAAAAAACTAACGGGCGTTACGCGTTTGGGAAATTTTTTGGGAAAACCCATTTCGAAATGGTAAATTGTTTAAAGCGCGCGGTTGGGTTGGAATCGAATAACACTGGACAACAATCGGTTTTGAAAAAATATCGGACCATCAACGACTGATGAAGAATATGATAGATTCGTGTAGGTCGTAAAAAACACTCTCGGGGCAATGATTTCCTTCGATCGGCAAACTGGAACACGCCAAATAAGACGAAAACAGGACCTGATACACGACAGCGGCCGCGGTAATTAATATTCTCGAAACGTTCCATGTAACGGAATGTGTTCGCGGGAGAGATTAATAAAAACCTTTACGAATTAGTGAAAAAAACGTACAATTGATTTCTAAAACACGGCCTAAGGTATACAAAGAGATTTTTTCAAGGTCTGGACGGTGGAGCGGCAGAGAAAGCTGCGCAGAAAAATTCAAGGATCCTCCGAGGAACTAATCGTGGAGAGTGCGCTGAATTTTTACGCGCTGTGCGGAAACTGTTATCGATTTGTTGATCGGACGGTCAGGTGAGTCATTAGTCGCACACGAGCTACTTAACCGTGTCATCCCCCGGCAACGGTGTAAATAATACACGGCAAAAAAATGGCCCATTAGATCGATGAACCGCATCCACACGATATTGTTGTCGTACCGGGGCTGCAGTGTTTTGGGTCGATTACCCCTCGGTGGCGGTCCGACATTATAATATGTCGATGATCGAGGGGGACGGCCGTTTTTGCGGATCGATAAAATAATAATAATAACAATGCGACTCAGCGCGCTAATAATAATAATAATATGAAAGCCAACAGATGCAAAATAGGAAACGTGTAATATTTATGCTAAAAAACATATAAATAGGGTGTTTCGAGTGGCAGCCGGTCGGGTTAATGACGGCCGCATATTATGTGTACGAATTGCCGGTCGATATATTGTTTTAATATTAACATGTTGTAATAAAACCAACTGCGGACAAACGTATGACTTTTGTAATATAATTCGGGTTTGTAAATTATTCGTAAAAACAATGGGAGTTGGGTTTCACACTGCAGGTAACCTTTTTGCACTCGAATAATAAAATCGGGTTGCCGGAAACAACTAAAAAAAAGTAATAATAATAATAAATAAATACACGAATATTAAAACGAAAAACGCTGACACCTGGCTACCGATACGAAGACATTGGCTGTATGGTATTTTACGAATACAACGCGAGTACACATAAAAAAAAATACACACACCTATAATTTTATATTGTTTCCGATCGTGTACTTAACAGGTGTGTGTGTGTGCTTTGCTCGTCCGTTAAATGTTTTAAATTACACATTTTTAATAAACAACTTATATTATCGACCGTGTGAAATACGAAACGTTTTGTATAGAATTTTTAATGGAGTCGTTTGGAAACGACGACATAAAAATACTAATGACGATTCCTGATATATACAAAAAGGGTAAAAATGTAATTCGCACGGCCGCCGAAGCAGTTCTTCCGAGCAAAGTAAAAAACAGCTGTCTCGCGCGGCCAGGTGCTCTGCACTGTGCAGTGCGTGTGAGTATCGGCAACGTTCATTAATTGCTAAAAAAAAAAGGGAGACGATACACGCGAGAGATGAACGCATTGTTCGAACGTAATGTATGCAGAAATCTTATTGATCGTTGTCATTGCGACATGATTCGTAATGGCAAACCGACTTTCTGATTTATTCAGCGGCCGACTCTCTCCAGAAGTGAATATTTTAAATGTCATATTTAATAACGCAACGTGTCGGTGCCCCGGTGGAGTCGAGTTTTGCACATTTGTAATGAATGACTGTACAAGCCGAGGGGGCGGCGACACGTTGTCAGCTTTNCATCCACACGATATTGTTGTCGTACCGGGGCTGCAGTGTTTTGGGTCGATTACCCCTCGGTGGCGGTCCGACATTATAATATGTCGATGATCGAGGGGGACGGCCGTTTTTGCGGATCGATAAAATAATAATAATAACAATGCGACTCAGCGCGCTAATAATAATAATAATATGAAAGCCAACAGATGCAAAATAGGAAACGTGTAATATTTATGCTAAAAAACATATAAATAGGGTGTTTCGAGTGGCAGCCGGTCGGGTTAATGACGGCCGCATATTATGTGTACGAATTGCCGGTCGATATATTGTTTTAATATTAACATGTTGTAATAAAACCAACTGCGGACAAACGTATGACTTTTGTAATATAATTCGGGTTTGTAAATTATTCGTAAAAACAATGGGAGTTGGGTTTCACACTGCAGGTAACCTTTTTGCACTCGAATAATAAAATCGGGTTGCCGGAAACAACTAAAAAAAAGTAATAATAATAATAAATAAATACACGAATATTAAAACGAAAAACGCTGACACCTGGCTACCGATACGAAGACATTGGCTGTATGGTATTTTACGAATACAACGCGAGTACACATAAAAAAAAATACACACACCTATAATTTTATATTGTTTCCGATCGTGTACTTAACAGGTGTGTGTGTGTGCTTTGCTCGTCCGTTAAATGTTTTAAATTACACATTTTTAATAAACAACTTATATTATCGACCGTGTGAAATACGAAACGTTTTGTATAGAATTTTTAATGGAGTCGTTTGGAAACGACGACATAAAAATACTAATGACGATTCCTGATATATACAAAAAGGGTAAAAATGTAATTCGCACGGCCGCCGAAGCAGTTCTTCCGAGCAAAGTAAAAAACAGCTGTCTCGCGCGGCCAGGTGCTCTGCACTGTGCAGTGCGTGTGAGTATCGGCAACGTTCATTAATTGCTAAAAAAAAAAGGGAGACGATACACGCGAGAGATGAACGCATTGTTCGAACGTAATGTATGCAGAAATCTTATTGATCGTTGTCATTGCGACATGATTCGTAATGGCAAACCGACTTTCTGATTTATTCAGCGGCCGACTCTCTCCAGAAGTGAATATTTTAAATGTCATATTTAATAACGCAACGTGTCGGTGCCCCGGTGGAGTCGAGTTTTGCACATTTGTAATGAATGACTGTACAAGCCGAGGGGGCGGCGACACGTTGTCAGCTTTTAAGTCGCGTGGTGAATTTCATTTTGAAAGTCGATGGCAAGTACACGACGCGTGTAGTACTCGACCGCGTGGAATACAACGCTGCGACTAAAGGCATACTGCGTTTGAATGTGTAGCGTACGTATAGGTGTTGACAAACGCGGCCATAATAAAGTGTACGAGGCACACGAGATATGTTGTCCCGACAGAATGGTGTACATTATCGTTGTAATGTCAGAGTTGTTGTCGTCGTCGGCCGAGCAACGTCCGCGTATTAATATTGCGAACACGACAAACGCGCGGCGTGGGCGCGAGACAGGATTGTATGCACGCGGACAGTTTTACGCACATGCGACAGCACAGAAGTGGTGCGAGTACAAGTCGTGTGAACGGCAAACGTCAGCGGGGAACACTGCGTATGTTAATATTATTATCGTATTGATTAATAATTTATCGGAGACGTTAACGGCGGTACACGAAGTGGACGTCGACATGTATAAAATAACAAAAAACGAGCACAATAAAAAATAATAATACGAGACAACGGAGCCGTGTAGTTTCC